CTTCTGAGGTCCCTTCCAGCCCTAATGTCTATGAAATCAGAACGCTTGAATTCAGAATGTTAAAACATATTGTTGATTAAATATTGACATGGAAAATTTAGGCCATTCAGAAAATATTTCAATTCATAACTTACCCTGCAAATATGTCAGTAATTTTTGGAAGTAATTCAGTTTGCCTTAAAAAGACAATGCAGATTTGGAAATCCTTGAAAAAAAAATGGATTTTTTTTTTCTGTTGGCTGTATTCAGTTACAGAATGAAAGCTGTGGGAGGATTTTCATTGTCTTAATACTAGATTCAATTTCTCTATAATGCAACTATCTTATTTTGGCGTCTTGAATTTGTTTCACCTGTACACGTACAGAAATTCTGGGAGCTGGCTAAACAAGTGAGTGAATTCATGACTTGGAAGCAGGTGGAGTGCCCGTTTGAGAGGGATCGGAAAATCCTCCAGTATTTGCTCACTGTCCCAATATTCAGTGAGGATGGTAAGAAAATGACTGTAGGCCTGCTGTTATTGAATGTCTCCCTGTGTTCAGGCATTGCTTAGATGCATTCCAAGACTAGGTCTTATTTTATCCCAAATTAGCGTAAATAAATGACCTAGATTAAAAAACAAAAACAGGAGGGCATACATTTGCTTATCAAACTGTTTCAAAAGTGACTTTTTGGCAGCTTTTCTTCAGAAATTGGGCATCTGAGAAATGAAAATTGAAATCCAGAAAGTAGTCCATAAAAACATTGCAAAGTGTATTGGTTTTGCCTGTAAAACTGCTTTAACTCAGGTGATACTTCTAGAAAGTAAAATTGGGACTTTACTGCTTGGTCACGCAGCACTATTGCTCTGAACTCAAGCCTTTTCTCCTGCAAGTGTTTTGCTTCTGCCCTCATGTATTTTCAGTTTTACTAGCCCCTATTTATTCCCTGAGGGAAGTCTTTGCTCTCATTTTTTGTTGTTGTTGTGTTTTTGTTTAGTATGGCTTGGATATAATTATGAGCAACTCTACTTTTTAATGGAACTGTGGAGCCCTAATCTGATGAATGGGCAATATGAAGAGTTTATTTTGCCATGGGGCACTTCAGGGAAGCAAACAATTTGAAAATGCCCATAACACTAAGACATTGTTTTCTTTCCAATTGCAGCACTTTACTTGGCTTCCTATGAGAGCGAAGGGCCTGAGAATCACATTGAAAAGGACAGATGGAAGACTCTAAGGTTTGTGTCAAAGGTCACTGGCATCAATAAATCAAGAGTGAGCTGTAGTTCTAGCCTGAGACGGTTTTTAAAAACCAAATGGCATGCTACATGCTTCAACAGATGGGACACAGCATCAGCTTTAAACCCAATTCAGCTCCTGGGTTTCATGGAAGAATTAGCACAGCCATTTCTTGTCTATCTTGGCCCTCGGGGATTCAGAACTAATGCAGAATTCTTCAATTCGGTAGTTTTCCTTTCTTGTTCTCATCCTAGAATAAAAATTGTCCAAATCCTCATTCTCTTTTCACAAATGGTATGAGCTTAATGTCCATGCCCCTCCCCCACCCCAGCATGGTTACCTGGACAATTTTGGCCCTATTTCTGCATCTCTGCAACAAACTCAGGAGAGACTTGGGGGGAGTGGAATGGGGCAGACTATTTGTGAAACCAGGTAACCTTACTTCGGCATCTTACTTTGGTTTGAAAAATAAAATTGAGCGTCTCGTGTACCTCCTACTGCTGATTTGTGACAGGTGTACTGAATACAGCACTTGAGGATATGCAGAGCCCCAGGAGCTTGGTGTCTGCTAAGCTTGTCATTCTATAAAAGTTATTGCTAAATTCAGGTCCACGCTTAAGCCACAGCGTTCATAAGAGTTTTGTTCATAAGCAGATGTTCCTGTTTGTAGGCACTATTACCTTTCCTGTGTATCATGGAAGGCGTAACAGTTCAGTCTGACAGGAGACTGAAGCCATTTGTAAAGACAATTTATTTTCTTTGCAAACCAGTGGCCACTGCACAGGCTGTGCTGATTTATGCACAGAAACAAACATTAGAGAGATATTGGTCTTGCAAATCTTTCAAACCTCACATGATAAGAATCCAGCAGCTGTGGGTAGCATTATCCAGGGCTGCCTATCTGAAATCATCTACGTCACTTTAATGAATGTCTCTATTTATTTTCCCCTCTCTCTCATTTTCAGGTCAGCGCTTTTGGGCAGAGTATAATATGCGAGATTGGATGCTGCTCCTACTGCTGCTGTGTTACACGGATGATTATTAAGGGCATGTCTGGTTTGGGTGTGTGTGGTTCTTTTTTTGTTTGCGGGGGGTGGTTTGTGCACCAAGTGGCATTTAAATAATGGGAACTGCAGCCAGTTGAGACGGACATAACGTCAGCAAATAAAGCAAGCTAACTCAAGAAAAAACGGGCAACTTCTCAAATCTGACAGATCAGATTTAAATGGCAACTTGCTAGGCCTAGGTATCGATTTGAGGACAAGTGACAAAATCCTTCGAAGATACTAGACTCTTCATATAAATCACTTCACAACACCTGGATGGATTGCTTTGTTTTGCTGTTTCTCCTTGATTTGTTGGAGCTTGCTGCTACTTAAGATGCTCCAGATTTGGTACTGGATTATGGAAGAAAAGTACTATTCCTCCATGTGGAACCCAAGTCTGTGTTGGAAGAATTTCCATTCCTAATATGCTGAACATATAGCCAGGAACACTTCCTAAATCAGCATTGCTAAGAAGGGAAAGGACTGGACAAATGGCGGGTGAGGGAGAGGAGGGGTGGTTATAAGGGGAAATTAAAATGCAACTGGCTGCTGTATTTTGTTTTTTCCTGACCATGTTAATGGTGAAGCTATTTTGTTTGTTTATTCATAATATTTCTGAGTGTGCTGCTGGTTGGCAAACTCGTTATCATTCTAAGTTATATTTAAAAAAATAAGTAATAATAAAATCAGTGCTGTGGTAGGAAATGCAGCTACTACAAAAATGCAGTAACTATGTAGCTGGGACTGTCTTATAGTAAGATTTTTTTTTTCAGTTGTTTAAAACTAATTTTACAGACATTCTTGTATTACATTATTTTTACTACAGCCTTTTTTGTTACTCTGACTTTCCATAGTTGACTCTTTCTGTATTAGTTTGAACAATGTGACTGTATTTTCTAGACCTCTATTTTGAGAAACCACTGCACAGAGTATGTTGAAATAATATCATAAAGTACGTTTTTTATTTTGTCATTTTTACACTTTTTTTTTTTTGTTAGCAACTGGAGTACATAATCCAGTTTGACTGAAATTGTAAGATGCCAAGAACAAAAAAGAAAAGGTTTCTCTTCGACTACAGCTGTGAACAAAAACCATCTCTTTCTTGTGTTTTGCTTCATGGGTTATTATTGTTGTTATGACTGTGAAATAGTTCACTTTGTTACACATCTAATAAGTCTGTAGTAGCTCTGAATACTTAGCCACTGTATTTATCCTAGCAAAATCCCAGTGAATAAAAACTGTAGATATAGCCCACCCTGGATGGAAAATCACATGCTTAATTAAGGGATATGTTTGTAAACACCATGCCACTGCTCTAAAACAAAGAGAAATAAATAAAAATATGACTTTTTGTTGCACTGCATCTCTAAATTTGCAGATGTCTACAGGCTGCCCATCTGAAACTGATAAGATAGGTCCTGATTTAGGACAGCATTTAAGCATGTGCATTGGTCTTATTCGGGGAAATACTTAGGCACCTGTTTTATCTTTTAAGCCTGGGCTGAAACCAGTTTTCCTGAATTGGTATGCTTTACTGAATTTAACACTCACTACTAAGGGGAGATATTCTGGAAGGATTAGATGGTGTATTTCACTGGTGACAGCTCTTAAAATGCTGAAAATGGAGGGGCAAAAAGGAGTGGGATTTGTGGAAGGTAGGGAATATTGGCTCTTTCCTATTTAGTCTGTCTTGATGTGTTTTGGATGGTTGGTTTGGTTTTGTTCTTTTCTTTTTGTTTTTCTTTTGCTCATTCCTTCAACTTGTCTGAAATTTGCAAATCTAGTTTCCAGCAATAATCAGTAGAATTTCCCTATCCCTTCTTCCAGCATTGTCAAGGCTTCTGGGGAACCTTAAAATGTCTGAGGCATTTTATATGACTAATATCAAAGTACTATGTGAGGTCTTGTGGAAGAAGAGAGACTGGATGTCTCCTGTGATACGATGGGCTGGTACTCAATGAAGGCCATTTCTATGGCAAATTGCTTCCTACCTTCCTACCTGCACTATTGTCTTTTTGTTTCAGTTTTGAGAGGAAGCCAGAGGGTGAAATGGCAGGATAACTTATCTGTGAAAATAGCTTACAATCTTCCCTTTGTGCCTTGTGTGATATAGTTTGACTGCAGGGCTGGCTTAGAAATGCATCTCTCATTTATGTAGTTGGAATGAAGCCTTGTAAATAAAAGAGGCAATAGCATTAAGCAAGCCTTGTCTGAGCTCTGTGTTGTGCTGTGTGCATGGTGCTCCTGTTGGATAGGTTGTGCATACCAGAGCGGATCTTCTTAATGAGGTGGCTGGGATGCACGGGCTAGATGGCATGGCAGCAGGTGCAGCCATGTGGGACCCCTGCTTGAAAGTGGATGCAAATTCCATAGCCCCAGGCAAGCTGGAGGCTGCTCACTGGATGTTAATGAGCTGAGCCCCTGATGGGGAGGAGTCTTGTCACTTCCCCCTCCACCTTTGCCTACATTACTGTAGTGTTGACATAATCAGAAGGGGGCACCATAGTAAAGGTCACAGCTTAAAAATCCTAATACAAGAAGGCAACTGGAGGTGGGTTTTAAATCCACCTGGATGACAGCTCTTAAAATGCTGAAAATAAATGCAGATCCAGCTATTATCAGCTTCATGAGATCTATGCTTGTGTTGAATTTACCAGCTGAATTTGTCTCATCTATTACTTTCATGCTAACTCTACTGGTCTTGAGAATGGCACATTCCTTCTCTGAAATGCTCTTCAACTGGATTCATTCAGCCCTGGCATACTATGCTGAGGCTGGCTGTCTCAGAAAATATTTAAGTTTTTTAAAAAAGTACACCAGTAGAATGCTAGCCAGTTGGCCAAGTACATTGCGTAGCTATATGTGTCTGTTTTCTCCTTCTCCTGCAAGTACAGTACAAAAAGGGTTGAGAACCACTGACTTCAAGTACTACTTCCGGGCTACAGATGGCATTGCTGATGCAAAACGTGACCCTCCCACTCCAGCTGTGCTAAACCACCCCAAACAAGGCAATGTAATTATTTTTATAGTGGCCTGGAGCACATATCCAACACAGCTTATAGAAGCTCTTCCTTGGGCATGCTTATTGGCACATGTTTAGGGCTGCTCCATGGTGTTTACCTTGTGCTCATTTTTGAGAGTGGGTCTGCATCAGGTGAGATGGTTATGCTTTGTATGTAGAGAAATGTAGACATTCCAAGTCCCCCCTGGTTTGCTTCACTTTTTCAAAGTCCTTTAACAGCTTTTGAATTGGACCTTAAGCACGTATATAACTTTAAATATATGAAGTGGTCCTATAGAAGGGTCTAGAAGTACACACTTGATTGCAAACTAGGAAAACACTTCAGTATCCAGTTCAATCAAGGCCTTCCTCCAGATCCCTAGAAAAATCAATGGTGATGTACCTTCAAATGAGCTTTGGAGGACTTCAGTACTTGAACCTATACTAGTGAAGCCATTGAAAGCCTTGCCATAGACTCAGCCATGCACAGGATCAGAACTCCTCATGATAATTTTGAAGGTTAGACATGGCTCTAGGCCAGAGGAATTTATATTTGTGAGTACAAGAGACTCCTTCCCCTGCTTTTTCTTGCTTCTTTTCAAAATGTAGTATACAGGAAAACATGCAAGTACAACACAAAGTCGTATAGATACTACTTTTCTCTCTCAGGCATTGACATAAGCCCACAGGCATTTCTGTCTCACAAGTGCTAATATATTTATTCTGACACCACCTTCAAGAGGGAGGGGTGTCATAGACCCTTCACAGCAGCTATGCTCTGTCACAGCAAGGCCGGAGCCTCATGGTAGTTGTAAAATGGGTGCTTATTAAAAGAAACACGCCCACTTAGCTCCTATGTAAGTAGAGTCTTATTTTTAAACCTTCCTTGGATTTGTACAGGAGTGTTAGGCAAAGGTTTGGTAATACTCTTAATCTCTAGGGTAAAACCAGACAGAAAAACTGCTTTTCTAGAAGGCATCAGTACACAACAAACTAGTTTGTCTCACTTTTATCAAGCACATAGGCTAAAGCTCACTTTCAGCTACTCTAATTGATTAGATCCCCTGCTATTCCTATAGTTACTTTCCAAATGCTTGCCTGCAGATGTTCATGATATAGGCCTTTTTTCCAGGTTGTCCTGTCTGCTTTTGTGAAGGAAATGAAAGCCGAGGCAAAGTCAGAACAGGGTGAATCATGTGGGAAACATATGCAAAGAAACGCACCTTGCCCTCAGTGAGACAGGTAAGGCTAAACTGCACCTGTGTGACCCTGATATTTCTAAAATCATCTCTGACTGTAGAGACATGTTTCCAAGGGTGTGTGGGAGGCACTAAGGTCACCACCTTAATACTTTTTGTCTTGATGTATTTAGCCATATGAGCAGTGTGTTTAAAATTTGTGGGGAATGCGCACACCTAACTCAACCCTGTTTTGTTTGTTTTGCCTGTGGTGGGTGTGAGATTAATATTTTTAAGGAAATGCCAATAAACACTAATCCGTCTCTTTTATGAGATTCCAGTAACTAAGCCATATTTTGACCTATTGTCCTCACAGCTCAGTCGAGATGTACCCCAGAGTCTAAAACAAGGCACAATTTAGTCCAGTAACTAAACATCTCTTATTGGTTTCAATATTTATGTTAAAACTCTTCAGTGGAAGGCAGGAAATGTGAATTAAAGCTGGTAGCTGATTTGCCTTTTCATGTTGAATTGGGTTTTACCTTAGACCATCTGTTCCCTATAGCCTTGGCTATCTTTAGAGAATGTTGGAGGTGGAATCGGATGTAGGAGGGAAGAGAAGTGTGGTAGTATAAATAGCCAAGAGGTGGGAAGGGTTGATATCTCATTCACCAATTACTTTACCTTTCAGGGATATTTGCCTCCAGTTTTTCAAACCTACTCAGCACTCCTTGATCTCAGCAGGCAATGTAGTATGCTGACCCCTTTTGAAAAAACAGGCCCTAACTGCAGTGTTGAGGACTGGGAAAAGGTAGCTTTTAAGTTTTCATTTAAGCTCTGAGTACTGATATGTTTCCAGTGTGGAAGCCCTTGTGTCCTGTGTGGATCCCTGGAAGCAGCTTAGGTGGGAAGGATGACACTGACCTCCTCTTCCTCAGCAATTAGAAAAGTAAAGTGGTGATTTGGTAAATGAATGAAGGATACTCTTACTTCTTGTTGGTTGGCTTTCTTTCTCGTCAGTAAAGATGAGGAATGGATTGTGGTAAGGCCATATTTCTTTACATGTAGTTTTAAATCAGAATGTTCTGGGACTATGCTGAAATGACATGATCTTTTTAAGTCAAGGGCTCTGAATGAGAAGTTGGGATTTAGAAGAGAGGTGAACTGTTTGAATGATTATATTGGAGGAAGACATGAGATCTTTTCTACAGATTTTCCTTGGGGCTATAGGTATGTCATTCAACCTCCCTGCCTGGCATTTTTTGCATTTGAAAAGTGGTTATTTTAGTTTCACTTTGTACAACTAGCATGAGACTGAATTAAATCTCTAAAAAGTATTTTGACCTCAGAAACAAGGTGTGTTACCAGTGCAATCACATTTTATTGCTCTGGGTAAGTTCTCAGGGTGGAAAGAAACAAGTCTATGTATTCACCCATATTCTCTCAATTTCAAAATATATGCAGTCTTGCTAATATTAGCCACTCAAAAATGAGTCCGCTTCCCCCACAAATAATGGGATTGACTTTAAAATTATATCTTAAAGAGTAGTTAAGTTTTTTTTTTTCTTTATCTAGTTCTTGAATGTATAGGGCTCAAGTTCTCAATCACTTCTCTGCAACCAAAAGGTTAGACATTTCTTTTCTTTAAATAAAGTTTGACATTCCCTTTTTATCAGATAGTTGCTGGAGCAGGGGTGGGTGTGGGTGGGAAACCAAATATTACATGACAGTAAAATTCAATGCACAAAATTTAAGTAAGAGCCAGATCTTGCTGTTGAATTATATTCTCTGGGGTGTTCAGAGAGAGGGCACCTGTGTATCCAAAGTGAAAATGCTCACCAATTAATTTACTGAAAATGCTCGGTT